TTCCCAACATCGCCGTCTTGCTGGAGGAACACGCAAATAGCAAGCCGTTGAGCCCAGAGGCCTATTCGAGGTTCCGACGCGCACTTGGAAAGCTTCTTTGGCTATCAGAAACGAGACAGATATAAAATTTGCGGTTGGGCTGTTGAGCACACAGCAGGCTGCGCCTAGCCAGGCCACTGAGAATGGACTCCGATCCTTGTTGAGATTCTTGTTTGAAGATCGTGACTTGGTTCTCCAGCTCCCTTCTTCTGAACTTCACTCCCAGTTTCTTCCGTGCCTGGATGATCAACGATCTCGTCTTTGTGTCTTCGCTGACGCTTCTCACGCTCCTTATCGTTGCTTAGGGAGAAAGGGGGTTTCGGGAGGAGCGATGTGCTATGCTGGGTGCCTTGTTCGCGCGGTGGCTAAAGTGCAAGGTGTGGTTTCCATGTCGTCATGCGAGGCTGAATTGCATGCCTTGCAATATATGTGCCAAGAAAGTGTTGGGCTTACGCTGCTCCTTGAGCGGGTGCTGTCAAGCCTTGAGGGTGTCCCAGTTGAGGTCACAAGCCATGCTTATGTCCAAGAGGAGCTGGAGGATGCAGGAGGTGGCTCAAGTCTCGGCTCGAGCTCCCTCTGGAGCGCGTAGGCAGTGCAGCTGTGTAGAACAGGCCTGGGTACTAACAACGTACTAAGAGGCTCCAACAGGTCAATCCCAGCTTTCCACACTTTGCCATTGCGCCCATACCCGGAGGTGTAAGGCGCAGTCAGGGTTCGAGCACCTCGCCCTGCAGCAGCTAGCTAAGAGCCCGGCTTCGGCTCCACTTCACGGTGAGTTTCTCCCGTGACGAACACTTCGAGATGCAAAGTGTGTCCAGTACCGCCATGATCACTTTGACTTGCTATGTGTTTGCTTGGAGACACGAAGGCCGTCGTGAAGGCCTCTTTCTTGAGACCACTTCCTTGCAAAGATGTCACTTTGTTCGCAGAACGAGACGCGGTTACATCCGTTGGGGTTCCCACGGCACGTGGAGTCTTACCATGGAGCAAGGGCGGCCTGTGCTCCGTCTAGTGGGGTTTAGGTGCTGCGCAGATGCTACCATCCGGTACATTGCTTTCACGGTCGATCCCCGCAACGAGAGATTCATGAGTGACTCGCAAGGTAGGACTATCAGGTACCTTGGACAGCTGCGCATGCTAATCCATGCAGGCCCTCTAAGGGCCTTGGCATTGCCCGACTCGGAAGAGTGGGTTGTTTTGTAGCACTATAGCTGCGGTACCTGGCCCTCATAGGCAATGACGGAAGTCGGAATTGCCTTGCTTAGGGCGAGAGTAGGTGCAGGGTTCAAGTTTTCTTCCAGCACGCAAGCTTTCCCTGCAAGGAATCGGTGAGCTCCTCACCTTTCCTTCTACCTTTTAATTGCGTTACCAGACGGGTAAAGCTTCTTCCCGAGAGGGCGAGCTTCTCCCCTCAATACCCTAAGTGCCCAATAGCCTCAGGTGCAGCTTTCCGTTGCCTGTGTTTGCACCTCAACCGACTGAAAGGGCTTAGGAATAGGTCGTGTTTGGACCGCTGGGACACAGATCCCATAATTAGGCCCTTGAGGTCTCCAGCAAATTTTGTGGTCCCCTAAACTGAAGTTCACTGGCAAGAGTGGACCAGTTAGTAAGAGCGAGAACGCTGGTCACTGCTCTGTCCCGTTGAGTAAGAGCGAGAAATTCGGGACGAATGGCCTTACCAGTTGCGACGTAGTTAGGAGCCCAAATGCCGTTGCAGATTCAGCAGCGGTTTTTGCAAAGACTCTTGCTGCAGCTTGCAGGGTAGAGAAACCTCCCCTGCTTGCTTTGAAGGTGCCTTTGGGCTAAGGTTCCTCTTGAGGGAGTGTGCAGGGGACTCCCTGTCTGTAGTCTGGGGACGACGCGAGCCATACTCCGGTAGAGCCCTGCTCCCGTAGAATGGGACGACGGAATACCCAGGACTTCAGGTAGTGAGCCCTTGCGCTCTTCTCAGTGTCAGGAATACCAGGGCTGCTGCAGCCCAGCCTCTGTTCCAGGACTTCGCTTGGAACTTCGTGTAGTCACCTTTTGCGTATTGGTGACGCCCAGGCTTTGACTCGAGCTTTGTCGGTGGGCTCTTTTGTTTGTTTGGCGCTTGCGGGGGTTGGGATTAGTGTTCTCTGCTTGGGCCCATCGCTGCACTAGCGCGCGACGGAAAACGCAAGAACCGATCACGTATTTGTGAGTATCTCCTCTTACGATGATGTGCTGTGTGGTTGGGATTGGGTCGTGCAGGGGGCGCTGGTTCCGGCTTCGCCTCTGTGTTGGTCTTTTCGCCTGGGTTAATCTAGCTTTGCCTGCTCCCCTGTGCCAGTTGCAAGCTTGGCATTTGTGGTGTCAGTTACAGTCCTTGGGGCTCGTTTGCAGGTGAGTTTCTCCCTGCAGAGCCCTCACGGCCCCTTTTCTCTTTGCTGGTCTGTTGGGTGGCCAAAGGCAACGCAGGCTTTGTGTTCGTGCAGGACTGGGCTTCTGGACCCTTCCTGTTTTCCTGTGAGCTTCTCGCAGAAGAAAGGCATCTACCCTTAACCGTGAATTGGGAAGTTTCTTCCCTCTGGTAAGGGTGAGCTCCTCCCCTTATCTACAATAGGGACGTAGGCAGCAATGAGCTTTTGAGCTGGCAGCTTTTAGCTAAGGTGAGTTCCTCCTTTAGCGCTGCTCACAGCTCCAGGTGCTCGGCTAGGAGTGAGAGCCTCCTCACGGCCTTCACCTGCCCTTTCCGTTTCACCCCGACCCCCCCGTAGAGCTCTGCTCCGGAAGGCCCAACTGTGGCGCGTGACTCTGTCCGCTCGGCAGGATGCAGGAGGTGAGGATTCTGACAATCCGCGCATTGTCACTGATCTTCTGACTGATTCACAATCTGCTATTGAGCTCCTGCAGGGACAAGACCTGCCAAGGCGCTCTCGACACATTGAGGTGAGAGTTGCTTGGCTTAGACATATATTGGCCAATGGACAGGTTGAGCTTCGCTGGGTTGCTGGTGCCGAGAATCCGGCAGACATCTTCACCAAAAATGTCAACACGGCATTGCTTCACTTGCACCGGGGGCGTTTGGGCTTCATGATTGTGAAGGATAGTCCTGTTGAGAAGCTGTTCGAGCTATCAGTCGAGCGTGGCAGGATTGACATGTCATATGGCCACCATGTCGGATTCCTTGAGGTGTGCTGCTCAGTGAATTCATCACTTTCTCGCGAGTGTGCTCGGCATGGCATTCCGTATGCAGGTGTGACACAGAACATGCAAGAGGCTCATGTTTATCGTCAGGCTTTTGAAGTTGTGAGCGGTTGGCATGCCGATGAGCGTTGGGTGCATGTGCATGTGTCCACGCCATGCTCGTCAGGTTCTCCACTTAAGAGCTTCACGAAGCATCATGGGCTGAGTAGCTTCAGTCTGTTATCAGCCCTTACTGTCCCGGCCCTCAAGTATATCATGACAGTCCAACGACCTGTGAGAATAGCTTCGCCGAAGATGTTGCCAAACTGCTGTGCCAACATGCTTATGACCACATGTTCTATGGTCCTGTGAATCATTTTTTGAAGCCAGGCTTTATGGCATCAAAACCTGGTTAAAATCTATTTGTAGAGCGTAGAGGCCATATAGACTTCTAGACTCCAGGCTATCTTCACTCTCGACTCTAGACTACATTCGGTCCAGGCTTGTGCACATGATCACGGCCGAGTGCGATTTCCCTGTGGCTGGATACAACATTCTTGTCCACAAGCTCAATGCCAAGACATGGATGCCGATAAGTCGCCCAAGGCCAGTTTTTGGGTCAGGTTATTCCTTCTCGCTCATGCACATCAGTCGTTATGGTGAAGGCTCTGCAGCGCTTTTCTGCCAAATACGAATGGCTAACTGCTAGCTGTTTGCCGCTAGTCACCACTTACTCGGTAGCCGTTGGCTTGCGTGCTTGAAGTTGGATGTGCATCTCTATGGAACAGTCAATTTACTTATGTTTCGGTCCAGTGGTACATGTGGGATCAGCTTTACAACTTTTTCTGTCTTTTCAGGTTCTCGGTTCAGGGATTCCGATATCAACTTCATTCAGGCCAGGTGTCAGGTCAGGCAAGAGGTACTTGGGCTCTGGCAACTGTGGCACAACTGGCCGAGTTGGTGATTGCTCGGAAGCTGATGGGGGCAATGGCCTGAATTGTTCCGTCTGTCGTGGCTCCTCAGCTCTGTGGTTTTGGGTAGAACAAAGAATATGTTTCTCATGAGGCTGGTGGGCTTCGTTTGATGCTATGGCTATGGTGGCTATGGTTCTCTGGACATGGTTTTGCAGAATGGGGATGATCCGTTTGTTGATTTTGTTGGAAATGATATGACATGCTCATTGCCACTAGGCCACTAGGTCACTAGGACCAGGACTAGGATGTAGGACTGCTACTGCTAGGGTCGGACAGGCTAGGACTAGGACAGGAGCTACAGCTACAATGCTACAAGCTGCTCTGCTATGCTAGGCTGCTAGGCTAGGCTACCAGATTCATAGGGGCCGGCAAAGATGCTGGCCCGAAGCCAGTTTCACTTTGGGTGATTCCAATGGTGCGCATGGCATGGATGATGAGGGTTGGGGGGCAGCTGCGCAAGGCACTGTTTCTTCAGAGCAGCCGCTCCCCGGTGCCATAGGTGTTCCTGCAAGGCCAGACAAAAGAGGAAGACCACTGGGCTCGATTGGTAGCAGGTGGCTAAGACACATTTGGAGGCGTGATGGTGATCGCGCATGCTTGGTTGCAGCGCCAATCTCCCGTGAGAGACTGGAGACAGTGGAAAGTCTGGAAACTCGGGTTCAATCACGTGTTCAGAGCAGCACTTTGGCCCTTTTGGCCAGAGGCAGCCCGATGCAATGGTTCCAAAGAGGCTTCGATGCAGCGCAAAGTTCCCTGCTTCAGTTTCTGAGGTCATGCTGGTGCAAGAATGAGACGAGTGAGGGTTTCAGCGAAACACCAAATCGCATGACTGCTGCATCCATGACAATGGGTGCTTCCAGGCCCGTGGCATCCACGACGATGTCCTTCAATTTGGCGGCTGCACAGGACTTTGAAGGATCCGAGCGGACATTCGTTCGTGACAAGCAGCGCCTGAGCATGATGAACCTTCATTTTGCATCCATGTCTTGGCGTGTGATCCTGCAAGCTTTCCAGCAGCAGATCGACGACAAGACCCTGGTACCCGTTTGCATTATGAAAAGCCGGCGTCATGATGAGACACCCACCAAGTTGAGGCTCCCGAACAAACTTCCAGAAGACCGTCGCAAAGTTCTGGGCAAGCGCACTGGTGCAGTGACGGCCAAGGTGGTCCAAACAAAGATGGAACTTGCATTCCTCATGCAAGGCGGGAGTTTGAACAAGAATGAGGCTCTTCGGGGCAAGTACATCTTGTTCAGATCTGTTGTTCCCTGTCCTTTACAGCTGGTGGATTCGTGCACGATTGCAAACATGAGGTGGTTGCAAGAAGAGCAAGAGGCCCGGGTGCCCGGGCTGGTACACTTCAGTCGGCAATTTCCTTTGAAGTTTTCGCTCCCTGCCACGGACAGGCATTTCTCCAACAAGGGAGCTGAAAAGGCCCTGAACAACTCTGATAACACGTGGCTTATGTACCATTTCCTATGTGACACTCACAAAGCTGCCCAAATCCAGAAAACAGAGTTCGATTTACTCTCGGGGAACGTATCGGCTATGCTGATGTTTTCGATCGCGACGAGGCAAGGGAACAGCCTCAACGAAATGAAGAACATCTTGAAGGATCTGATCGAGACTCGTTTGCTCATCCAGGTGGGGAAACCTCCAGCAGAGTACACTGAACATCGCAGGGCCGTGCATGACCTTTTCTTGGCACCTGGGCATTCCGCCATGCCAGACGGTCGACGAGCCACTGCTTCCGAAAACATTTTGCGGCGCCGCTTGATTCTGGAACATCTTTGTAATGGCAACTTGCAGCGGTCGGATTGCATTGAGTTTTGGCTGCCAACTGCTGATTTTGCTAGCCGAGACCAAGTCGTTCATGTTCTCCAGGAATGGCTCATACCAGCACTCCTCCCCGGGCCTTGCCCAGAGTTCCCAAGATCACGCTGGACAGGAGCGGATTTGGCTCTCGACTTCTTGGGCGTTCTTCAATCACACCATGCGCTTCTCCGGCCTTTGATCCAAATATGGACACAGGGCCACACCCATGTTGATCCGCAGTTGCCAAGCAGTTCGTCTCGTGCAGGCTTGGACAATGAGGGCTGGTCTGCCGCGAGTAACTTGCAAAATACTGTCGATGCTGATCGGGGTGATGTGGTTCTGCAGCATCCGGTGCCTGAGCGACCTGTGCAATCCAATGCTTCGACGGCGCAGCTGGCAGATCCCGAGTTACCTGCATGGTTTCAGTCTGCTGAAGATGTGGCCGTGGATCTGCAAGACCATGTGCAAGCAGAGACTGGGGATGTGAACTGGGCTTCATTCAATGCAGCTCTGAAAGCAAAGCTGGCCAGATGGTGCGAGCATTCATCTGTGCAGCATGTTTTTGTGGTGATGCGTGCAGCCATGAAAGCACCATTAAAGCTCCTTTCAGATGTTCTCACTTTTGCTGGTTCTACGTGGGAGCAGCAGCAGGCAGCGTTGAAGGCTAAGACCGGCACACGAAGTTATCGTGTTCTGAAGGCTGCTGATGGTTCTTTGGAAAGGAGCTTCATGACCCGCCTGTCTGAAGGGTTCCATGGCCAGCTACAAAGTTTGCCCTCCAGCGCATGTCTTCGTGTTACCCGAGTCTTGCTCTTCCGCATGCTCGCTCGCGCAGGTGCTGCTGCTCATGATTTGATGTTTGTTGTTGCTTTTTCGTCCCTTGCTCCTTGGTGATCTAAGCCCTTGACCATAGGTCCCAAGCTAGCCTAACTTAGGGCCTAGCTATCAGTTAGCAGCTAGCCTTAGCCACAGAAGCCTTATCCTTAGCCTTAGCCTTAGTCCCCAAGACCCGAAGCAGTTATTGACCCTTATAATGAGATATTTTTTTTACTCTACATCTTTAAGGGGCATCGTACCCCGAAGCATAGGTGCGGCTGGTGAGCAATTGATGTTTGCGGAACACAGAGCATTTCCGTATAAACTGTTCACGGCCCTGAAGCAGAACATGCAGAACATCGAGGCCTTCCCAGATCAGCCTTGCATGATGGATCGGCTGTCATTCGAAATCAAGAAGAAATTTCCGGATCTCCGAACAGCAGAGGCTCAGGCTTGCCTCCACAGCCTAGCTTCAATCATCTGGACGGATATTTCTTGTGTCGAAGCGACACATGCGAGCACCCGCAGGATCACGACAGTGAGATCAGTGCAGGTCTCTGCTGTGTCTTTTGAACAAGTTAATAGCGACCACATGTCACGAGAGTTGTCCACACTGCGTGAAGCCATGCGGGAGCAGACAGGAGCACAGGCCCCAAGGACGAAGACCCAGAAAAGACATCAAGGCCACACTGCAAGAAAGAAGCGCAGACCGGTGGGCAAGCCTCGCAAATACAAGCGAGGAGGTGGTGCTTACCGTGCTTTCATGAGTATTCATGGTCGCGGAAACCGCTTGGGTCCATCCATGTCAAGACTCACCCAGAACTACCATGAGGCCAAACGTGATCCCGAGCGCTTCGCTCGATATGTCGAAGCTGGCAAAGCTGGGACTGTTGCTGCTCGCGCAGGCTATGAAGCTTTGGAGAACGTGCGAGAAGACGGAACAGAAGGCAAGGAGCCGGGTCGTCAGAACTGCCTGCTGTGCAGAACCTACGATCAGAACTGAAGATTTTGAAGGACAAGTGCGGTGAGGAACTTGCGATGCATCATGGAGAAAGTCTGGCCGAAGTGAATGCATTGTCCGCAAGCAGGGGTGAAGCTTTTTTTCAGCAGCTCACAGAGGTGTTGCCGGACTTGCCTTCTGACATGGTTGCGACGGCTTTGGCTGGGCAGGGTGTTGCCAGTGTGCAAGTGCAAGCTGCCACTGACTTACTGACACAGGCCTCGTGTTTGCAAGCAAGGTGTGTTGGGATCTTTTGTTTGGACATGACATCGGTATCTGCTGCTGCTGCTGCTGCCGCTGCTGCTGCTGCTGCTGCTGCTGCCACTACTACTTACTACTACTGCTGCTGCTGCTGCTCCTGCTGCTCCTGCTGCTCCTGCTGCTCCTGCTGCTGCTGCTGCTGCTGCTGCTGCTAGCTGCTAGCTGCTAGCTGCTAGCTGTGTTCTGCTAGCTGCCGGCTACTTACTGCATACTAGCTACTAGCCATTAGCTTCATTAGCTTCTGTTGCTTTACACTGCTTGCAATACATCATCCGCAGTCTTTTTGAGTCTTGGACCTCCTACGCATCAGGTGTATCAAGGTCTTCAGCTTAGCCAGCACCTACTACTCTTGGTGGTCCTGGTCAATCAGTTTGCCACTTATCCTCTCTTGCTAGGGGCAGGCGCTTGTTGGCAGAATCATGTCTTTGGGGGTTGGTGGTTTTGGTCGAAAGAGCCAGTCGTTCCTTTCCTATGGTTGGTCTACCGTGAATCAGACAACACAAAAGCGGCCGGGCCATGGTCGGACCACAAGCTCATGAGGCGGTGAGGTTCAGGCGCAAGTCATAGCAAGGGAGTCCTGGTGTGAGGTTTGTTATTCATTAGTCATATTAGTCCAAGTCACCAGTCATTCTTGAGTGCATTGGCATAGACATGCCAGCAACTTTCATGACCCTACTAGACTTACTAGATTTACTAGATGGTCTTCATCGAAATTTCTATTCTATTACCGTCATCAACGGGGCAAGGCTCCAAAAATCACATCTGTAGTTTATCAGTGGAGTTCAGGTCTTCACGTCGATGGCCTGGCAGTTGCAAGTAGGGTTTCAAGAAAGGTTGCCGTGGAGCTGGGCTGAAGGGTACTGGGTCGGGTAGCAGTAGCAGTCAGTAGCAGTAGCAGCAGCAGCTAAACACAATGAACGTTTCTATGATGTTGTGGTGGCTGAACCTTTTCTCATGCAATTCGAAGAGTCTGCTTGACGACAAGGTGTGGTTTGCAGGGCAGTTCAGATCAGGTTTGTCGCACACGTGTTGGTTGCTAGCGCTAGCCGCTGGCCGTACAATGTACAAGCCCTGCAGCTCATGTGTGTTTTGCCGTGTCTGAGGCTGTGTGGCCATTGTTGGAGCAGGACTCCAAGTCGGGTCTCAAGACTCAGCTTGAACAAGGCTGGCTGGAGGCCAATGTGCTGCATGAAGATGCGGAAGCTCCGGATCTCACAGCTCCTTTGTTGCATGGGTTCCAAGAGCAGGAGTGTCGGAGGCTGGGCTTGTGCCTTTGCAAGCCCGGCCCCGATTCTGATGCTTATTTCATGCACAAAAAGATTGTCATGCTTTACAAGAATTTCTTTGTGGTCAAGCGACAGAAACGAGAGACAGGCCAGGCCCCACAAGATCAGGCCACAAAGAGCAAGCCCAAGGCGAAGAAGACTTCCAGCAGGTTGCTGTTGGAAAGTGGGTTTCTGGTGTTGAGCTTGCGCCGCAGTGCACCCACCCCTCAGGAGCACCAGCAGCCTGCAGAAGCACTGGTGGAGACGTCCTTGGCTTCCATAGGATGGTCGGAGACTGCGATGGCACAGGCAGTGCCAAGTGGGATGAGCCATGGACCTAGCCAAAGGGCCTCTGTTGAAGCAAATGCTTTTGCAGAAGGCCCTTTCTTCTTTCACATCGGCTTTGTCAACTATACGACCTACGACTTTACAGTATTGCCTCTGACGCCTGGTGATACACATGAGGAAGCTGGCCGGAAGTTGCGGGACCTCCATGTCCCACAGACCCCGCGTTTCATGCGGGCCCCGAATGCCTTCAGGGCATGCATAGACTTCGATGCCAGATGGACTGCTGGATTTCATGTGATTTTCGCGGACGATTCTCCACAGACAGTCTGGGACACTGTTGCAAACAAAGTTGAAGTGGAGGAGCAGTCGATCTTGCCGGAGGTTGAGGTGTGGAAGGCAGGGAAGTGGCCCTTCTAGAATTCAGATTGCTAGTTACTGACTATTAGTTACTACTCACTAGTCAGTCACTAGTTTCACTAGTCACCTCACTCTAGGCTCTACTAACTGACTAACTCCTCTAGTGACTCTAGTGTGTGTCTAATGACTCCAGTGCTTCTAGGGAGAATAATGGCTTCCAGCATAGTTACGTAGTTTGAAGTATGAGTCAAAGCATCGTGGTGCCATGCCAGGAACATGGGTTTCGAAGATGAAGTTGTGTGACCAGTAAACACACATACCCAGATCACATTCACGGTGTTTATCTTTCATAAATACTTGTAGCACCATACTGTGCAATACTAGCTATCGCTTCCTAGCCACCCGAGCTACTGTACTTATTGGTATCATTATAGTGCCCGTTGTTGTCGTGCTACTGACACTTCCTACTACTGGGTATGACCGCTGTATGTTAATTGTGATTGCAGGTGGCTGGTAATTGCCTGCTGATGTCAGATAATACTTTCTAGTTTACCATGCACAAACCACTAGTCACTAGTCACTAGTGACTAGTGGTTTGTGCATGGTCACTAGTCACAAGGCACGAGGCAGGTGTGCAACTGTTATCTGCTGCTATTGGTTTTCGAGTTCTGAGTGAAGGTTTCTTTGCAATTATCATGGTTGTGAGATTTCCGAGTAAGGTTTCATTGTTATTGTTACAAGTTTTAGAGTCATCGATTCCTGAGGAAGGTTTCATTACCATTGCTGCTGGTCTCAGCTTTCTGCTGAAGGGTTTCAATGCAATTGCTACTGGTCTTAGATTTCTGAGGAAGCTTTTGTTGCAATTGATACTTGCCTTAGTTATTATTTGGAGGAAAGGTTTCGTCTTGATCACTGCTGGCCTCAGATTTTTGAGGAAGGTTTCATTGCAGTTGCCACTTGGTTTAGATTTTCATGTGGCGGTTTTGCTTTTCTGTGTTCTGCTGGGTCCCGGGTGTGGCCATTCTTTGTATTGTAGTGCCACTAGGATGTTAGGACCTAGGAATTATGAGCCGTGTTGGCTTTTGTGGCTTGCACAGAGTCTGAGTTTTTGAACGATCGATCTGGAAGATGAGGGTCATCAAATAGTATAGCAATCCAGCCGTACCCGGAACCCGTTGTTTATTGGAGTCGATCAAGAAATCAGTGAGCACTCGGTCCATCAGAGTCCCCAAAATTTTTTTACAGTTGTTTCTTCTGGTTTGCCCTGTGAGGGATCTGCAGAAGAGCGAAGGCGCCGAGACTTGGAGGCATCACGAAAAAAACGGACCAGAAGCTCGGGAGCAGCAAGACAGCAGCGGAGCCACCAGCCTGCTCCGAAACGGAGGCGCCGTGTCAAAGGTTCTGCTGACGATGGTGCTGGCCCTGAAGCAACTGAGCCAGAAGCTGCAGCTGTCACAGATGGTGGTGGTGAGCAGCCCGATGTCGAACCCGAGCGCGAGCCTTGGCATGCCGAGGACGCCGGTGAGGACAATGCGGACAATGTTGAGAATGATCGCCACTCGAACACAGATAGTGATCACTCGGAAGCTTTGGAGATGGCCCTGGAACAGCTAGCGCAGGAATTACCAGCTGATGCAGCTCCGCCAGATTCCAAGCAGGCTGCTCCAGCACACCGGGGGACATCCATCGAGGAGCGCGAACAGGCTCTCTTGAGCAGGTTGGAAGCGAGAGCTGCGGAAACTCCAGCCGCAGATTCTGTTCCTCAGGATGATGAGGCTGCTGTGGCCACATCCCGTGCTGGCAGAAAGAAGACTGGCACCGAAATCATTGTTCCTGTCGGGCATTATGGAGAACTGCACTACTACCCGCTGAACAACAGCTGCACAGCCATATGCAGATGCAAACGGCATGGCAATGATTGCAAAAAGGGCAGAACCTTCAATGAGTTGAAGCGACCTGCTCGCAGCAGCGGGAGCCGTGATCGTGAAAGTGTTCGCGAAGCACAAGGGCGACCTATTGGCCTGCTGGTTCACTGGCTGATGTGTCAAGACAGTCACCCGAACAGACAAGCGCATTGTGACACAGCTCTTCCGCTCCACTTCAGCTTGGACGAGCGCAAGAAAGCCCGAGAATTCTTCAGTACCATGCCAAAAGCGGATGAAATACTTCGACGCGAGCGTGCAAAGAAGCCTGGGGAAGCCGAGGAGCCTGATTTCATTTATTAACCTGGCTCCAACCTCCGCCCGTTTCACAAAGGCATCCACTGAGAATGCTTGCTGCTTGCAGATTGGACGCAATGCCGGCTGAACTGAAAAGTGCTCCCAATTCCAGTTTCGGCTGGAATATTGAATTATAGAGGCCAGCTAGCAGCTAGCCAGCTAGCTAGAAGCAGTTTGATGCTAGGCCGGGCCCCACACTTGCGACTTCTAGAGTAGAAAACAGCAACCATCTAGGCTCTGCTCACAGAAGCCTAGACACTCTTGGTTTCAGAAATACGAAGAACTCAAGTAACTCAAGAGTGTCGTTCAGAGTTCAGAGGTGTTCAGAACCAAGAGAAGGCCGATTCATGTTGCAGACTGTAGCTTGCAGCCTCCCCCACAAGCTTTTTTCATAATTGCACATTGTAAATGTGTTTTCGATCTTCAGATGGGTCTTGCTTTTGCTTTGTAGACTTTCGGTTTCCTGGAGACCTGGCCCCAGTGCCTAGAATCGGATTCTCCGATGAACGTGCACCTGTCCCATGTAGTGACTGACTGTAGCGACTAGACTCGACAAGTGTATAGAATATGGAGGCTCATTGGCTTCGAAGGAAGTGGGCCACGTTGTATGCAATAGTGTGATCTTGATGGTTTTTTGGGGTTTCGTGTTGTCGAAATATGGGTCGCCCAGCCGGCCTAGCCCGAGTCTTCACCCGCTTTACCACACTTGTATGGTTGAGAACCATAAACACCATCTGACAAGTCTAGAGTCTAGAGGATATTCCTGAAATCACCCCTTTGTGTAATGAGACTCGTTTTGGGACAGGCTCTACATCACTCTGCTTCGCCATGATCTCTACACGGACGATGACTGTCTGAAGTTTGAGGCGGTGCTGAAGGCCTGTGGAGTTAGGACAGTTAGGAGTGTTGTGAAGCAATCTTGATTCAGTTCCTGTTTGGACGGAAGTACGTTCGTAAGCTCATCCAGCCACGGATTCATGCATACCTGAAAGCCATATAGGCCATCACGGACTATGCCGAGATGCTGGAGCGACCACGGCTGGACGATGTGTTCCTCCCTGCTGGCAGGGCTGGCTGCGCTGTAACTTGCTTGATGCTAGGTGTCTGTTCGTATCCTTTCACAAGCTACGCCGACGTGTTAGTGGGAATGAGAGAGAACAACTGAATGGTGACAGGTGCTTGGCTGCTATAATACTATAAAAACTACTAGGACGGCTAGGGCTAGGGCCAGGACTACGTACTCTATTGGCATTGAAGGATCCTCTGTGCTCAAGGGGTGAATAGGAGGCAATTTTCAGTGCATTTCCCAGGCAATTTCCAAAGCATTTTGTTTGCATTTTTCCTTGAATCTTCAGCTTGAAGATGCAAATGTTGAGCATTTTTTTTGCTGTCAAGGACAATTTCTGGAGCAATGTTTAAGCAAAATTGATACATTGTTTGCACAAAATGCACTAATACTAATTCTCCAAGAAAAACACATTGTTTTAGCATTTTCCTAGGGAAAATGCAATACAAATGCTCCAAAAATGCAAAAACATTGTAAAATGCTTGGAAACAAGCCAAATGCAATATTTTAGCATTTTCCTAAGGAAAATGCAATAAAAATGCTTCAAAAATGCTTCAAAAATGCTCCAAATCCTTGGAAAAAGCAAAAAATACAATATTTTAGCAAAATTTTAGCATTTTCCTAGGGAAAATGCAATAAAAATGCTCCAACATTGAAGGAATAATGCTATTTCCTGGCATTCAAGACTTGGAGCAATTCCAAAGCATTTTCCAAGCATTTTCCTGTCCAAAATTGCATTTGGAAAGCCTTGGAAATGCTCCGAAAATGCTTCAAGAAATGCTTGGGAAGTGCATGGAAAATTGCCTCGTCCAAAACAATAGGGCCAGAGGCTGTTTCTCGAGAGGGGTGGCCTGTCCGTTTATGGTCGTCGGCCTGATTGGATTTCTGGGGTGGTAAATGGCAGTGGCCTGCCATCAGCTCTGTACTTTCATTTCATGTTTCCGTGCTGTCGATTTTCACACATGCAAAGAATCGGAAAGCCAGCATCTCCATCCAATAGCAAGCATGGCTATGACTAAGAAGAGGTCCGGAGGTTTCTGTTTCTTTCTGAAGCAGGCAGCTACACACAATGCAGAAACCCATTGTGGATGCAGTATGAATTCCTGCTGTGTTGGCAGTAATCAGCTTTGCCCGGTCATGTGTTGCTACATAGGTATTTAGTTCCAATGCTGACCCCGGGTTGCCTGGACTAGGACTAGGGCACTAGGGCTAGGACTCATGACTTTCTATTTTCCAGCCCAGGCGACAGTCAGCGATCGGGGCCAGCAGTGGAGAAACCAGGTGGGCAAGTGGGAAGAGGAATCCAACATTCCGCCAGGGCTGGCGCTGTGGACGGGTCGGCAGCAGTTCCAAGGCACCGGGCTGCCAAGGACAGAGAGGGTTCTGGCACTTGTGGACCTCACATGTGCCCAGAAAGTCAAGGACACTGGATGTTCTTTGCGTTTGGTCAGGGAGCAGGCCTTGATCCGCATGATGTCAGATTGTGTTCTGGACATCTCCCAGAATCCGGACCGCCGCAAGTTTTCGAAGGCATCCAAAGACCAGCGCTGTGAGAACCTTTTGCCATGCCTGACAAGCACCTCCTGGAATAAGGAGAGGTTGGTTGCACCAGAAGGTGTGACCGGGAACAAGCTTTGCCAGATGGCGGGTCAAGGCATGTTCGCGCCAAGCATCGGATCGATTCTTTGGGCTTTGTATTCTGTGAAGCAGTTCCCAGGCTAAGACACGGGCAGCAGGCCAGGTGGCATCAATGAGCAAGGTCAGAAAAGCGAGGCGACAGAATTTTGGAGAATGTGCTGTTTCACATTTGTAGCTGCCGGCAGTACAGAGTTGTGCTCCTGAGATGTGTTACAGTAACACAAGAAGCAACTTCATCTGTGTCAGTGTAGACAGTGTGGAATGTAGAATTTGCAGTATGTAAGATCTGCAGTCTATGGTGTGCGACACTACGGATTGCTGTTGATTTTGTATGCTGCTTAGAATTAAGATTTGGTGTTGTGTAACTAGCTAGCCATATAACTAAGAACTAGTCACTAGTCAATCTGAAGGAGTCCCCTGAGGTGTGCACAACAGGCCGGCTCGTGTGTTCCTTAAGCCTTAAACGGCTTTAATTGCCTGCAAGTTGGAGTCCATGCTGCTGTGGCAGCTAGGACAGGGCGGCTAGAGCCCAAAACCGTCGAAGTGTTTTTTGGGGCACATTTTGTGCTCTTGTGAAGGTGTCGTGCTGTAGCCGTGACTCTTTGACACTGTGGTCTGCGCCACAAGAGACCGAGGGACCGCGGCCGAGGGTAGGCTGTTGTTGTCGTGGTTTTCGGGTAGTAAGGCATCAGTGTTTGGATAGTGACTAGTGACTAGTGCAGTTTATGTTTATTTGATATTTTCAATCACCTCGGCCATTGCTGACGGACCTTGTGCACCGTACAGTAGATTAGATTTGTTGGTGCCAATCGGCTGCCAATCTCAGTGTTCGAGATTGTGACGAGGTGTGGGTGCCCGTCCTCGTGACCCTAGTGGCCTTGTGTATGGCTTCAAATTCGATATTGTAGCGCGCGAGGCCCACACATTCCTGTAAGCATAAGTCATAGGTCATAGGTGTGTCTTCCCAACAGCTATGGCTATGATTGGTTGATAGATTCTAGGACCGCTAGGGTCTGGCAGTCAAAGTTTTCAGTCATTTAGTCAGTTTAGTTTATTTACGTCAATGCCAATCACCTCGTTGCCAGATTCGTGGCCAGAAGCCAGTGTGACCACAGCCTCTTTCCATGGGCAGAGAAGTTTACAGAACAGTGTTCACACGGAGCCTAGAATCCACGGGTCTTGGGTATTTGGGCAAGCTGCCCATGACTGGGACGTGGTTGTGCTGGGGACATAGCTCCGGCATATTCCCATAGCGCCGGGACCAGTGGGCTAGAGACTTTGCTCGTGACCAGCATTTGCAGTGGTGCTGCAGTGCACTGTGGGGCTCGAGGAAAGATTTCTTGATGCTTTGCAACATGAAACTGCATGAGTGTGAAGACGAAGACTGGTCAATGACCCTGCAGTGTTACTATGCTCGCATGTGTGCTTGTGCTGTCGTGATGGTGTGCCAGCTGCTAGTGCTAGTGACTATAGTGGCTGCTGGTTGGTGTCTGCTGCTGCTGCTGCTGCTATTGACTGCTTCAATGCTACCATTAGTGACCAAGATGACGGGCATGTGTCATGCCGTGCCATCTCCTCCTTGTAGGTTTTGGGGTCTGTGCCCTTGCAGCCAGTAGTCTTTGTAGACTGCTCACGTTGCGAGCCCGGTGCACGCAGCAGCAGCAGCAGCAGCAGCATGGCGGTCTTGAGTAAGCCTCTCAAGCGTGCAGCCGACCCGACAGAGGCACCAGCAGAGTGCATAAGGCATAAATGTTGTGCGGGGCGTAGGCATAGACTCCACAGTGTGTGTGTGTGATGCTGTTCGTATTAATTTTCTGTGCAGTTCCTCGGTGCTTGTCAACATTTTTTGTTCGGGTATTTACACCTGTGTATACGAACAAATACATGATCCTTCTCTTTCTGCTTCTCTGTCCTGGTGAGTAGGTAGGTCTTTTTGTTGGTTGCCGTCTAGCTGCTGTCTAGCTGCATTCCAAAGTTTGCAGGTTGTTGCTCGCCGAGTTACGCAGAAGAAGGGTCCGGCCCAGAGCTCCCGTGGAGATGACGATGGGTGGGAGGATGCGTCCACTGTGCCCGAGTCGACACGGGGCATGGGCACGAGCTCGAAGGTGAGGAAAGCAGTTGAAGCGCTGAAGTGCTTCCTCTGTGGTCTGAAGCCGAAGGCATCGGAACTTCTGTTGGCTCGGGATATATGTGTGTAGTGTAGTAATGTACTTAGTCACTTAGTAGCTGCTTTTGTGACCATGATCGATTTTTGCACAGCAGACTTATTCCCTTTGGCAACTGACACCTGCAGTATGGATGC